GGCCGCCAAGCAGTGCAGCCCCTGCTCCGCCGCAGCGCAGAGCTCGTCGGGGCCGGCGGCGCTGCCCTACGGTTACTTCGGCAGCAGCTACTACCCGTGCGCCCGCATGGGTCCGCACCCCAACGCCATCAAATCGTGCGCGCAGCCCGCCTCGGCCGCCGCCGCCGCCTTCGCGGACAAGTACATGGACACCGCCGGCCCCGCAGCCGAGGAGTTCAGCTCCCGCGCTAAGGAGTTCGCCTTCTACCACCAGGGCTACGCGGCAGGGCCTTACCACCACCACCAGCCCGTGCCCGGCTACCTGGATATGCCGGTGGTCCCGGGGCTCGGGGGCCCCGGCGAGTCTCGCCACGAGCCCCTGGGTCTTCCCATGGAAAGCTACCAGCCCTGGGCGCTGCCCAACGGCTGGAACAGCCAAATGTACTGCCCCAAAGAGCAGGCGCAGCCTCCCCACCTCTGGAAGTCCACTCTGCCCGGTAAATGGCGCCCCCCTTTCCAGCCCCGGGTCTTCGGGTCTACTCCAGCTTCTGTTCAGCTCACGCCCGGGGGTCGCCCGGGTGGCCCTCTGCTCTCCCCCTGGCTGCCTCAGCGGAGCCGCACCCGGCTGGGAGCTGATCCCGGCTGGCTGGCGCTGTCCGCACTACCCTAAGTTGAGCTGGCCCCTGGTCTTCCTTGGGTGAAGGGTGGCCTCGAGGAAGCTTGAGGGGACCCACACTAGCTTCCTTCTCCTTCTGCGCCCCGCCCTCCCCAGCCCTTGACACTGACTGAAACTGAGAAATCGAACCGCTATTTGGCTCATCAAATTGCCACTATTCGCTTTCGGAAAATGGTTTCATTGGTGAAGCATCAGAGTGTTGGGGCTTGGGGCAAACCAGGAGGAGCCAGGCACAAGAGCTTTGTGCCCTGGTTCGGGGGCGCTAAGGTGTGGCCATCTGGGCCAAGAGGTGGAGGCCAGGCGCGCTGGGCATGCAAGATAACCTGTTGGGCTGATCACTAGAGCTCTGGGCGATTTCATTTCAGTGCAAAACTAACCACCCTCTCCCCTAACCCGCCAAGCTTTGGCAGAAGGCCGGAAGGTACAGCGTGTAGCAAAGAGCAGCCCGCTCCAGGCGCGTGTATCCTATCGAGCTGTCGCCTGTGTCCTGGCCCCGTCTGGTCCATGTATAACTTGCCTTCTCTGTCTTCCAGACGTGGTCTCCCATCCCTCGGATGCCAGCTCCTATAGAAGAGGGAGAAAGAAGCGCGTGCCTTACACCAAGGTACAGTTAAAAGAACTTGAACGGGAATACGCCACGAACAAATTCATTACCAAGGACAAACGGAGGAGGATATCAGCCACAACAAACCTCTCTGAGCGGCAGGTCACAATCTGGTTCCAGAACAGGAGGGTCAAAGAGAAAAAAGTCATCAACAAACTGAAGACCACTAGTTAATGGATTAAAAATGGAGCAGAGGGAACTTGAAGAAATGCTTCTGAACTCATTGCTTTGCCCAGATAATAATAACGCTTAACAATAATTGAAGAAATGGAAAGAGAGACACTGACATTTTGCTGTCTTTCTCTGTAATGGAATCTACAACTTTTTAAAAACTTTAAGAGATGATAAAGACTGCCAGTTCTCCCCACCAACCCCACCAGACCGTTACATGACAGACTCTAGAGTCAAACATCAACCCCTAAAATGCAATTTCAGATAAGTTACTCATTTACTGAAATCTTGTAAGTATTTATGTGACCGTTATATTTTAGGACACTATGTTAGATGGTAATAATCCGAAAGTTGGTTACAAAAGCAAGTGGCTGTTGTAAGCATCTGCTCGTCCTTCTTACATTGCCATCCCCTTTGCATGTTAAGTGTATGCTCAGGTAAATCTTAGTGAAATTCCTATATTATGTTTTGTGAAATATGTTTTATGTATAGGTGTGTCTGGGGGGAGAAGGTACTGAAATAATCCAGAACTATTTACTCTGAAAGGAAAAAGGAGAGGAAAGCGCTTCTGAAGATCATGTGTCTTGGTAGGAAATACAACCAGTTTAAACCTTTGAGGCTACAAAGGAATTCCAGGTTGGTAATGTCCTTCCAAGAATAATTTTTAGTTGCTTATAGCAAGTCTATTTTTCGCATTTGAACTACCCATTATCAGTGATTTTCCGGAGAATTGGATGTTTTTAAAAATGTTTAAATCAACAGATAATCTGCAGAATTCATTTTATGTCAGATCTTCCAGAAGGTCCCACCCCAACATGATAGACTTCAGTTTTGATGCAATTCATTTTTTTAATCTAAGTTTTTTCATCTAAATTGGTATTCTCCAATATTTGCTAAATATTTTGCTGGAGAAATCATTTTCTTTTTATTTTTTAGAAAACTCAGAATAGAAATTCATTTTCCCAAAATATTTAGATGTTGACATACTATATTTTGGTCTTTCAAGAGATTAGTATTTTTCCTTCTTTATTGTGTTATGAGACTGCACTAGAAAGTTTAGGGATTCATCTTCATAGCACATTTTTAATCAAGCAGTTGTTTCAACCAGCACATTCGTTGTGTTCATATTCACTTTAAAATACTATCTTGTAAATAAAGACATTCAGCACACTGTGAAAGTGTATTGTGCACCTGCTTTATAAATAGTTCTACGAAAAATGGAAAAATTAAATCTGTAGATAGTGATATAGTGGTATTAATTCTGTTAATAAAATAGTCACTGCCAGTAAAATTTGAAGGAAACACTCGCTACTTTCCTTTGCTAAACGTGCCCTGCACGGAAAAGGAGCAGGTTTGTCTCATACAAACCCAGGACCATTCTTTTCTAGTATTATTCAACTTTTGGGGGGTTTAAAAATTTTTAAGAAAAGAGAGAAATTTCTCATAACTGAAATTCTGAAAATGATAAGTGCCTTAAGGAGATGAAAGTGTCAGGTGAAAGGGAAAGAAAAGAAAGGAGGAAGAGATAGTATAAATTCCCAGGCTCCCTATGGAAAATGAATACCAGTTGTTTAGTATCAGCAATGCTTAGGCTGTCGTATTTTAAACTCTGTGGTTGGGTCTGCATGTGTCTGAAAGGGCAGGTTTTGATATTTGTTGAAATGACAGGACTAGGAAAGGCCTTAAACCTTGACCTTGAGGAAAAAAGACAATTTGTGACCTTGACTTTTGACAGCTCATGAATTGGTCTGGGCTGGATTAGTAGATCAAGGGCGCCACCTGGTGTTGACAAGCCTCCTTGTAATTCTTTAGCTTCCAGGAAATCAATTCTTACCTCCTTGACTTGCTATTTTGGAGATTTAGTACTCATTTATTTGGCTCCAAATGGAGCAAATTTGAATATATGTAAATTATACATGTGCCTGTATATATGTGAATATATATCATATATGTGTATACATGTATACATTTGCATATCAGTGCTTGTGTGTGCTTGTATATATAATTATAGAATCTGTACAGATATAGTATTAATTGCTGATGACTCACAACATTGTAATTTAAGGTAATTTCTAGAGTTGAGGTACAAAATGTACTTTACATGATGATGCCTTGTTCCTTTTCTTTAATGACCAATTTGATTTGTCTTCACAGCAGCTCACTCAGATTTCTGCAGATCTGCTTTCAAGCTGTACATTTTTCTTACAGTCCGAGAGATGTTCTTAAATAACCATTTTTCTTCTCACCCTTATTCTTCAAGGTGGTCTACCACCCTAATTAGAGCTATCAGGAAACCTTAACGGTAAATAAAAAGTTTCAGATGCCTTGCGCTAACTCTAGAGTTCTAGAGTTACATTTCAGAAATTCAAAGAAACCCACCTCTCAGGAGGTCAGTAAAGGGAACTTAAATATCTCATATCTACAAAATGACCATAATATGTATGGGGAAGGAGAGTTATCCTGTATAGCTCGGAGCTGAATGCCACTCCAGGGTGGTGTGCAATCTTACACTGATGCTTGCAAATCTGCCATTTGATTTGTAGGAGAAATATATAATTTAATATTACAATCACTATCAAAACTATAATAATGATAAATTTTTATATCTACTGTTTATTGACCCCTAACAGTACATCGGGTGCTGGGTTCAGAGTCGTAAATAATGCATATGTATGTTTATATATTTAATAGACACATAGAGTTACGTGTTTTTTGTCAAATCCATGCTATGAACACATGTATTAAAATGTTGGTAGAACCAGTAGCCTGGAGATGTGGAATTATCAGATGCAGATTAATTTTATTTTTATGTTAGAGGAAAGAAATAGTGAATGAAAGAACTTAATACATCATTTGGTGGAAAATAATATTGGTTGGTTACAAGCCTGACTGATGGAAACCTCTCCCAGCTTGCCTAAAGACTGAGAGCTTTATAGCTGAAGATCTAAGCAAAAACTATAAACCTATTTCAAAAAAGCATGATCCTGAACCATATATATCAAATGGTCTTGTGAATGCAATCATATTTGGCTGCCCTGAGGATTTTCACTTCACTTCTGGAAAGAAATGAAAACGCTGCTTCAGATCCACCTCCCCACGTTTTGTGCCACAGTTCCAGTTGTAAAAGAGCCAAAGTAACAACTTTCTCCCCAAATGTTTAAAGTGGTGGAAAATCCCCTCAAATCTGGATCAGTGTGCTTACAAATAGCTCCGAAGAGGACTCTTCTGTTGATAGGGGATATTTTTCTTTAGATGTAAGAAATATTCTGAGCCTCAGGCCTAGAAAAAAGAGACCAACAGCAGCTCTGCAGCCAGAATACCGCCCTTTCAAAAGCCATCGCCACTGCAAGAACCTTGGGTAAAGTAGTAGCCTTCTTTTTTCTCTCTCCAGTTTTTGAAACTGTAATGACAAAAATAACGTCAGGAACACCCCCCACCCCAGTTCTAAAATGGTTGTTGATAGCATCAATCTTACCTAATGCCCTTCATACTGAAAGTGTCCATGGGGCTACCAGATAAACTGAGGTGGGCATGGATTATAATGGCTCCCAAATGCCTAAAACTTGTAGAACAAAGACAGCTAGGGAAACAGCAGCCTCCTCTTGAAAAATAAGAATAATAATGCAAGTCACTAATCCATAAATACTGTGGTTTAAACCCCAATTCGAGTTTTTTTTTCTAAAAAGGAAACTTCCTGAAGCCCCCCCCCCAAATCAATATAGGACTTTCCCCATCTGCTCTTAATACTGTCAAATTTATTAACTTAAGTGGTTGATTGTAAAATGTCACTATGTATTTCACTACTAATTATCCCTGATGCAGAGTTGAGGCCATTCATTTAAATTGGCTTTTTTTTAACAGAAAAGGAAAGAAAATTTGTTAAGAAAGTTGGAAAAAGGAAATTATTCATTTTTAAGATTCAACCTAATTGAAATGTTTTCCGAGAAATTCACCAGGAGGCAGCGAAGAAATCCAGCGGAGAGTGATACTTTTGTGTGCGGGTAGTTGGATTTCACTGTATAGTAAATATGGCCTACTACACTGCTCTGCGTGTTTGGAGGGCTGGGTGAAGATGCAGCATCTCCCTTTCTTTCTGTGAATTACCCAGTTTCCAGCCCAGATGGAGGTTGCCCGAGACTGAGACTGCTAATTGCTAATCCCCAGCCCGGGTGGGTTGAGAGGCGCCCTTCTAGACTTGCAGGTCTCTCTGTCTCTCTCTCTGTCTCTCT